AAAAAAATAGTGATTTAGTCTGCTTTAGTTTGTGTGTGTGTGTGTGTGTGTGTGTGTGTGTGAGAGAGAGAGAGAGAGAGAGAGGGAGGGAGGGAGGGAAGGAGGGAGAGAATACAGGGTCTCACTCTGTAGCTCAGGCTGGAGTGCAGTGGCATGATCTCGGCTCGCTGCAACCTCCGTCTCCTGGGTTGAAGCAAATCTCATGTCTCAGCCTCTGAGTAGCTGGAATTGCAGGTATGTGCCACTACACCTGGCTAATTTTTGTATCTTTAGTAGAGATGAGGTTTCACCATGTCAGCCAGGCTGGCCTCAAACTCCTGACCTCAGGTGATCTGCCTGCCTCAGCTTCCCCAGCCACTGTGCCTGACCATACTCTCAATTTTTAAATTCTGGCTAGTAAAATTTTAAAAACTACCTCTTTAGATCAGTTTTAACCTGTGAGATACCAAATTATGATCTCTGCCATATATGTTTATTTAGAGACCTTTTATTTTCTGTGTTGCTTTGAAGTCATTGATTCCAGAATGTGGTTCAACATAAGTATTGAGATTTGTTTATCATACACAGTAAATTTTATTCATATTCACTTTAAAGTATGCATATACCATATAACTAAATGGAGTTAACACCTCTTTCTTTTTTTTTTTAAGATATTCAATGCAGGAAATGTATGATGTGGTATCGGGTATGGAGGATTACAAGCATTTCGTTCCTTGGTGCAAAAAATCAGATGTTTTATTAAAGAGATCTGGATATTGTAAAACACGATTAGAAATTGGATTTCCACCTGTATTGGAGCGATATACATCAGTAGTAACCTTGGTGAAGCCTCATTTAGTAAAGGTAATAGTTTTGTTTTTTGTTGTTTTTAAATATTCCTCCAAATATTAACTCTGTCAAATGGGTTAAAATGTAGTGGCCTAAAAAAAATTGTTTAAGCTAATAGGAAGAGGGGAAAAAAATTATTTATTATGTCTCCTCTTTACTTTTTTTTTTGAAACAGAGTTTCACTCTTGTTACTCAGGCTGGAGTGCAATGACGCAATCTCGGTTCACCGCAACCTCCGCCTCCTGGGTTCAGGCAATTCTCCTGCCTCAACCTCCTGAGTAGCTGGGATTACAGGCACGCGCCACCATGCCCAGCTAATGTTTTGTATTTTTAGTAGAGACGGGGTTTCACCATATTGACCAGGATGGTCTTGATCTCTTGACCTCGTGATCCACCCGCCTTGGCCTCCCAAAGTGCTGGGACTACAGGCTTGAGCCACTGTGCCTGGCCCCTCTGTTACTTTATACAATATTAGCATTATTCTTTCCAAATAGAAGTTAGAATATAATATGGAAATGGAAAACTTTTCCCCTTTTTTTAACCTCTTCTGTTGAAGGCTACTGACCCACAGGACAGTTCAGTTGGGCCACCTACGTGGGAAATGTTTTAATTTAATTTTTGCCCTGTTTTAAAATATGAATTAAATACTTTAGCATTGGGGGAAGAATACATTTGTTGTTTACTAAATATATATTTTTTAAAATTAAGGAATGGTGGGGAGGAGGGAGGGGAAAAAAAAGTGAGAGGATAAAGAAAGGTAGAAAAGATATAGGCCAGGCACAGTGGCTCATGCCTGTAATCCCAGCACTTTGGGAGGCCAAGGTGGACAGATCATGAAGTCAGGAATTCAAGACCAGCCTGACCAACGTGGTGAAACTCCAACTCTACTAAAAATACAAAAATTAGCCAGGCGTGGTGGCGCATGCCTGTTATCCTAGCCGCTCTGTAGGCTGAGGCAGGAGAATTGCTTGAACCCGGGAGGCAGAGGTTGCAGTGAGCTGAGATCATGATCATGCCACTGTACTCTAGCCTGGGCGACAGAGTGAGACTCCGTCTCAAAAAAAAAAAAAAGATATGTCAGGAGGCTGAGATGAGAACCCAAGAAGTTGAGGCTGAAGAGAGCTGTGATTTTGCCACTGCACTTCAGCCTGGGCAACAGAGTGAGACCCTGTGTCAAAAAAAATAAAAATTAAAAGAAAAGATATAAAAATATTGTCAGGGTGCAGTGGCTCACACCTGTAATCTCAGCAATTTGGGAGACCGAGGTGGGTGGATCACCTGAGGTCAGGAGTTTGAGATCAGCCTGGCCAACATAGTGAAACCCCATCTCTACTAAAACTCAAAGAAATTAGCCATGTGTGGCAGCAGGTACCTGCAATTTCAGCTGTTTAGGAGGCTGAGGCAGGAGAATCACTTGAACCCAGGAGGCAGAGGTTGCAGTGAGCCAAGATCACACCACTGCACTCCAGTCTGGGTGACAAGAATGAAATGCCATCTCAAAAAAAACCAATTGGCTGGGCTTGGTGGCTCATACCTGTAATCCCAGCACTTTGGGAGGCCGAGGTGGGTGGATCACAAGGTCAGGAGTTCAAGACCAGCCTGGCCGACATGGTGAACTCCTGTCCCTAATAAAAATACAAAAATTAGCCGGGCATGGTGGCAGGTGTCTGGAATCTCAGCTGCTTGGGAAACTGAGAGGCAGAGGCAGAGAATTGCTTGAACCCAGGAGGTGGCGGTTGTGGTGAGCCAAGATTTTGCTACTGCATTCCAGCCTGGGCATCAGAGTGAGACTCTGTCTCAAAAAATATACGTGTATAAATATTGTTGAGGTTATCCTGCCAAGTACTGGGTGCTGAAATGCCAAGTACTCTTACATTATGTTAATCATCTTATGCTTGTCAGAGGAGGATATATGTGTAGAAAAGGGTACCAACCTTAAAAACGAAAAGGCAGAATTCCACAGAATAATGCGTATTTATTTTACATTCCTATTTTGGAGTGGCCAAAGATCTTTAAAGCTGAGTTACTTTGCCCACAGGATTTAATGATGATATCATCTCTTGTTAACCGGCCAGAGCTAAATACCTTAGTCAGCTCTGTGTTAGGCATTGAAGGGGGTGCACCTCTCAGAGTGCTCTTTCTGGTGCAGCTAGAAAGAGAAGGAGAACACTGTCACTGTCCAGTGAGGCTAAGACCCTAGAGTCTGCCCTCTTCTTAGCCTCAAAACTTGAATTCCACTTAAAATGCTGTGGACTAGGATTTTGCTGTTATTACAAATGTTTTCATCTGCTTGCCTCATTGTTTTAGAGTTTTTAAACTACTGTCTCTCATAATAGCCAACATTTATTGAGCCCTTTTACAGCTTTACTTGAATTACTCAAGTTTTCACAACAGCCCTTTGAGGTTCAAGGGTTATTTATTTTAGAGTTGAGCTATCTGAGGGTTAGAAGAGATAGAGAACTTGCTCAAGGTTACAGAGCCAAGACTCCAGGTTTCTGACACCAGTGAATATATCTATAATCTTAATTTTTTTTCTATTTCCTGAGCTCAGTTTACCATTCAGTCTCTTAGAACTTAAATCTTAATATATTATGCTGCTTCTAACTAAAAGAACTCTAAATAAATCTCATTTCTTCCTCGGTCTCTACCTTTCTTCCCTCCTCTGGTTTGTTTTTTGTTCGTTTGTTTTTGTTTTGAGACAGAGTCTTGCTCTGTTGCCCAGGCTGGAGTGCAGCCGTGCAATCTCAGCTCACTACAACTTCCGCCTCCCAGGTTCAAGTGATTCTCCTACCTCAGCCTCCCAAGTAGCTGGGATTACTGGCTTGCATCACCATGCCTGGCTGATTTTTGTATTTTTAGTAGAGATGGGGTTTCTCCATATTGGCCAGGCTGGTCTTGAACTCCTGACCTCAGGTGATCTGTCTGGCTTGGCCTCCCAAAGTGCTAGGATTACAGGTGTGAACCACTACACCCATCCTGTCTCCCTTGCCTTCTTAAAACCTACAGGGTAAACTAGGTGTGGTAGCATGCATCTGTAATCCCAGCTACTCAGGAGGCTGAAGCAGAAGGATTGCTTGAGCCCAGGAGTTTGAGGTTGTAATATACAATGACTATGCCTGTGAACAGCTACTGCATTCCAGCCTGGGCAACATAGCCAGTAAGACTTCATCTCTGAAAAACAAACAGGCTGGGTGCGGTGGCTCACGCCTGTAATCCCAGCACTTTGGGAGGCCAAGACAGGTGGATCACCTGATGTCAGAAGTTCCAAGACCAGCCTGGTCAACATGATGAAAGCCCATCTCTACTAAAAATTTAAAAATTAGGCTGGTATGGTGGTGCATACCTGTAATCCCAGCTACTCAGGAGGCTGAGACAGGAGAATCGCTTGTTGCCCAGGCTGGAGTGCAATGGTGTCTGGGCTAGGTTCTGGATTTTATTTATTTATTTATTTATTTATTATTATTATTATTGAGGTGGAGTTTCCATCTTACTGCCTAGGCTGGAGTGCAATAGCGTGATTTCAGCTCTCTGCAACCTCTGCTTCCGGGTTCAAGAGATTCTCTTGCCTCAGCCTCCCAAGTAGTTGAGATTACAGGCATGCGCCACCACGTCTGGGTAATTTTTTTGTATTTAGTAGAGAAGGGGTTTCTCTATGTTGGTCAGACTGGTCTTGACCTCCTGACTTCAGGTGATCCACCTACCTTGGCCTCCCAAAGTGTTGGGATTACAGGCATGAGCCACCGTGCCTGGCCAGGTTCTGAATTTTAATATCCAATAGACAATACAGTAAATATTATTATTTACCCAGTACTATAAAAATTATTATAAGAGAAGAACAGAAGCCATGTGACATTTTCTGTGAATTATTAGCTGACCAAAACGTGCCTGTCACTTAATATGTCAGTAATTCTAGTCTTACACAAATTTTTAATGGCCAGAAGCCCTTGAATATTTTTAGAGAGGCAGCAGTTCAGTGAATCTTACTGCCTGGTTCATGATATAAACATTTTATATGGATTAGTTTATATAATGGTCTATGTCAGCTCACCCAGAACAGCCTGTAGTAGGTCATCATCATGACAGCTTCTACTGTTCAGTATCTCTGCTCTTAGAAGTGAGGTCTTTGGCAATACTGTTCCTGTCAAAACATAACATTAAAAATCCATGCATCCGGGCCGGGCGCGGTGGCTCAAGCCTGTAATCCCAGCACTTTGGGAGGCCGAGGCGGGTGGATCACGAGGTCAAGAGATCGAGACCATCCTGGTCAACATGGTGAAACCCCGTCTCTACTAA